ACACATACACACACACGCACGCACACACACACACACACATATACACACACACGCACGCACACACACACACACACACACACGCGCACGCTAACACGCACACGCACACATGCATACACACACACGCATACACACATATACACACACACACACACACATATACACACACACGCACGCACACACGCATACACACACACACACACGCATACACACACACACATACACACACACACACACACATGCACATGCATATATATATATGACAGAGTGATTTCACTATCAGGCCCTTGCGTAAGGCCCTTGACGCCAATTGCTGTAGTATATGGACTGTATAGTATATGGACTGTATAGTATATGGACTGGATAATCCTGCCTTCTCGATGGTTTCTCTTACGTATATGTAAGACAGTGATGGCAGGTGATATGAATGCCAGAAGGTACAGCATGATGCTGCTGCTGAACCTCATCTATAGATTACTGTTCAGTAAATGTGCTCTTATATCTAGATAGTGCTGGATGGTAATGCACAAGAAATACGTGAAGCCGACCAGGACCAGAACACCAGCAGCCTTCAGGCCTACAAGCTCAGCCAGAACCTTCAAAGTCTTGAAAGTCGAAATGGTCAAAGTCTCACAGATGTATCTTGCCATGGAGAGTGGGACAGGACTTCTTCAATCCAACACCAAAGGAGCTTCAGCCAAAAGCCTGTGGAGAGACTAGGCATAGAAGAGGTACCTTCTATCTCTCAGATAGGATGCTGCTTCAGTGCAGCTGTCCTGGATGTCCTTGTCATTGCTTATCATTCCAGAGTAGGTCTTGCCTTTGCTACTGCTTCGTCAGCATTTCCTTATGGATGTTTCCTGTCATCCCCAACCCCATTCGCTTTCTTTCCTACCTTATCCTTCCCTCTCTTTCCTCACTTCTGCCTCTGTAGGTTTTTCACTCACTTTACCACTTTCTCCATTTTCTAGGTATTTGATATTCTACCAATTTTTGGGGCGTTACGGCCAGGTGAAAGTCAGCTGGTGGACGTAACCTTCTATGGACACGCCAGTATCAGTAGTGAAGTGCTGGCACTGTGTGAGGTGGAGGAAGGACCTACGTATGAGGTTACGCTGAGAGGAGAGGCCTCTCGGGTGACTTATACCCTGGACAAGACTGATATTGACTTTGGTACACAGGTAATGTGAGCCAGCAATGTTAATGCAGTCACATTGTCACTGTTAACACAAGTTTGTTCATATTCACCTTGTCAGTAGCCCTTTACTTAAGGCCATTAAAGACATTCATAGCAAATAATAATGCATTCATAAAGCATTATAAACATGGCTATAAATATTTATAAAAAGCATAACACATTATAGCCATGTGTATTATGTATTATGACTGCTTTATGAAGCTTTCATCTATAACACACTATCAATACCATTATAATGCAGTACAAAGCATTCTTAATGCTTATACTTACTATTATAATGCATTATGAAGGTATCTACAGTATAGTTTATTATAGACGAGAGCTTCTTTTGGCCGTCATATTGCAAGATAAATATGGCTATAATGTGTCATCCATCCATTTTCTGAAATCACTTATCCTGTCCAGGGTCACGGGGGGTCCAGAGCCCTTCCCAGAGGCTATGGGCAAAAGGCAGGGAACAACCCAGGATGGACGCCAACCCATCACAGGGCACATACACACCATTCACTCATACACGCACACTTATGGTCAGTTTGGTAACTCCAATTAACCTCAGCACTGTGGGGGGACACCAGAGTACCTGGAGGAAACCCCATGACGACACGGGAAGAACATGCAAATTCCACACACGTGGAACCCTAGTAGAGACTTGAACCCAGATGTGAAGGAACAGTGCTCAGCACCATGCCACCCCAATAATGTATTACGTCTTTTTATAAATATTTATAGCCATGTTTATAATGCATTATAAATGTGTTTAGAAATGACTAAAAACATGGCCTTAAATAAAGTGTTACCACACTGTCTCCTTTATTTAGTTTTATTTTAATGCCCTTTCTTACAAGCAGTAATTTGCCACCAGGTTTCTGGTTAATTCAGTCAGTATTTGTGAGGACACTGATGGATTAAATGACTTAATGACATTTAAATATTTCCATTCCAAAGGCTGAATCAGCAGAATTAGTGGAAGTTGCTATGGGAGATGGCTCCGCCCCATCCTGCTGTCTCTTTTCTCCCCCCAGTTGTTTGATTGTGTGTCGGAGGCTGAGCTCCTTCTCAGGAACACTGGCAAGGTTGACTTTGAGTTCAGTGTCCTGCAGGACCAGGAAGGCATGACTCTCAGCCACCTGCAGCCTGGCCTGCCCCTGGTCCTCCCAAACAAGGTCAGGAAGTTACTGAGGCACGGCCTTGTAACTTTTATGTTTTATTTATTTGTAGGTCTGTTATTATTTCGCTGTATTTTTAACTGACCGAGCTGCTTTTTCCACTTCCTGTGTGTTAAAGGGCTGTGTCCAGGCAAACACGCAGCAGAAACTGTCCCTCTACTACCTGCCTGGGACACCCGAGGTCTTTCACAAAGCCTTCCAGCTGCAGGTGTCCTACTTCGAACCCGAGACGGTCACTCTGAGAGGAGAGGGCATCTTTCCCAGGATCTTCCTTGACCTGCCCAGAAGCCTGAGTAAGTGACTCTCTGAGGCCTTAAAGGGCATATGAAGCTTCCTGTATGTAAATATAGGGTTAGGGTTAGCAGTAGATTTAAATCCCTCAGGTACACAGGACAGGTATCACCTACCCAATCTGTGAAAACATTGGGGTTGGTTTTGAGGCAATTTTAGAACATTAGGACATTAAACTGAGGTCATTACACAGCTCAGGGAACAGACTGGTTGGTTAAAAAGCAGTTATTTCTTGTGCCATGTTTTATTTTGTTTGTGAGCATTGAACTCAACTTTCCACGTGTCTCCTAAAGGAATTGTAGCACTTTTGATTTAGAATAGAATTAAGTTTTATAACAACAGTTGCTTCCCCATTTAGACGAGGAGAAGTACAGCCTGGTCCTGAAAGAGGCCAGGGAGTTCCTGGAGAGAGAGAACCAAGTAGGAGCAGAGATGAGCAGACCAGCGACTGGAGGTGGTGACCTGTCTGGGGATGTCTGCATCCCAACTGTGAGTGACTCTACATCCTTTAATACAATATCTGTACAGTACAGATAGTTACATATTCCTCTATTTACCGTCAGGTTCCTTGTACATTCCAGCATTTACACACAGTTCATGTTGTGTTTTGATAAGCATTAATGCACCTGAGTTGTACAGTCATTGTAGCAGTGGTGTTGATGTCATGTTATCTGTGTTGTGTTGCACTACTACACATTGTGTAGCCTCTAATTAACCCGGAGACTCCTTGTGATTAGAGGAATTTGCTTACCATGCTACATGCATTGCTAACACAGGTGTAATGAAGTATGATAGATCTGAGTGACATCAACATGCCAGCATCATAGAGTGCCAACTTTCCCACCATTCAGTCAAATTTCTGCCCTGCTAGAGCTACCCCAGTCTACTGTAAGTGAAACAGTTGTGAAGTGGAAACATCTAGAAAAGACAGCCGTTCATCTGTGAAGTAGGAGGTGACACAAACTCACAGCCGTTCATCTGTGAAGTAGGAGGTGACACAAACTCACAGCCGTTCATCTGTGAAGTAGG